CCTCCAGAGCAAACATTCACACAAAAAGACAGGATCTAAAGCTTGAATGGCCTCCAGACATCAGTCCAGCCAGTCTCTTCATTATGCAAGTGAACAGCCATACTGAGTGACTAGTTCAAGGCCACAGGCCAGCAGAAGGGACTAGATTAAAGCCCAGTCTCTGCATGACAAGAGATTTAAAGTACCACTGCATGCTTTTCTAAGGTTGCCCACGCTAGCTAACCATGCAAGACTGCTTTACGGGTTTCCTTACTGCTTCCTCCAGAAGCTGAACATCAAGGTGGTCTTTGGGAGTGTGTCTAAGGATTTCCTTTAACAGTAAGGGGTACTTGACGAGACGACTTCGAGGGATATCTAGGAAACTCCAAAGATCTAGTTTTCGACTGAAAGGAGACTCCAGACAGCGCTGGAGGAAGTCTTGGACTCTTGGGTCTTGTTTCTTCTGATCCAGAAGAGCCTTGGCCGCCAGCTGGTTACTACAGTAGCCTCTGTAGGCATTCAGGCCTGGTAACTGGAGAGGAAAGACAGCATGACACACCCTGACACTACTGGATGCAGTAGTAAGCCATGAGCACAAACCACAAAAGAGCATGACTCCACATGTGTTTACCCGGCTGTGGAAATCTTCCTGGCTCAATGGAGGCCTCACGGCCTCTCTGAGATGTTAGTTATCTGTGTACCCAGGACACATGTAATAACCCTGACGAAGTGGGCCTGCTCATTCTCGTTTGAGGTCATAAACATAGAAATGGCCTTCATTACTGAGTCCCCAGGAATCCTCCTTCAACAGGGCCTGGCATACAGCAAGTACTCAAGCATTGATTTACATGAAAGACTGCATAAGTACCATAGCATTATGGAAAGTCTGCTCAAGCAGGGACATTATTTGCAGGCAGATCTGTAACACAATAAAGTTCTGTATTTTTTACAAGGCTGTAAGTTCTTATCATCATAACTTTGGTGGACTTTCATTGCTCTTAGAGTCTGGTGGCAGATCAAGCTGCTGTGACAGTGCAGGTTGCAGCACCGCCGGTTATATAAGACGGCTTGCTCACGTACCCAGTTCACGAGAATGTGACCGATCTGCTCCACGGTCCCATCAGGCTTGGTTGCTTCGCCTATTCTTGCTAACAGATCTGAAGGGCACAAGAATAGAGAGAGCAGTGAACACGAATCGGAAAGAAGGAGCGAGTGTGACATTATCGTTAATTTAAATGACTGTGACTGTGCTGCTCGGAGACAAATGGAAATGAAGAGCAAAGCTGACCTTCATGCAGAGGTATGTAAGCATCCAAGTCTCCAAATATATGCGTGAGCTCCTCTTCTGACATGATGGACAGCTTTAACATGGGGTCATGGTAGGCCTATTGGGGGAAGAAATACATCACACAAAGAACAAGCAAAGAAAACACTTGGGCGACCTGTCCTTGAGCACACCCCAGTAACTTGGTATCAAGGACACACCCTCTGGAGAAATGCTACAGTTTATGTTCACTCCTACAAGTTTACTAGTGGTCACATTTGAAAAGCTTTGTTGCAATCTTGAGAGATGCGGTCAGCAGTAAAACTCTGTGGCTTTCTACTTCCAAGGGTAAGGAGCCACCCTTTAGAAGCTGTGAGGTGTCACTTGTAAGGGCTGGAGTGTGGTAAAGTGACTACTGACCTTTCTAGCAAGCTTGAGATCCTCGATTAAGTCCTGTTCTCCTCGGGACAATTCATATATTGCCTAAAAACACCAAGCAACACCACAAGTCAGACAGGTAAATCATGTAACTGATATTTACAGTGCCTGATTAAGAGATTTGCTCTGAAAATTCTAATTGAGGATGGACTCTCAAGTAAGCTTGCAATCTTTTTCTATCACGTTACGAACCAGAGTTGCTGAATCTGATGATCACCACCACCCATTATGAATCATTACAGACTGGGTGGGTGTGAAGAGTTGCTCAAATTAAAAAAAAAAAAAAAACCAAACCAATCAGGTATTAGTTTCACATTCCTCTGGCAAGATATATATTTAAAAGCCTTTTTTCTTTCTCAGTATAACTCAATAAATACAGTCTGGGTACTGAGTACTGCATACCTCCTGACGTTTGATCTCTCGAGTGGTCAAGGACTCCTTCATACTGATGTCTAGCATCTCCGACCATAATGCACTGCTTCTTCTCTTGGTGGGTGTGGGGACGGTGGACCTGCTGAATGACTTCTGGGCAGAGGCTGGGGATCTGTGGTCACCACGAAGGGTAAACGACTAAAGAGGCAAACAAACGAGGAGAAGGTGAGATTTGAGGCGGCAACAGTTATCCTGCATTTAAAACAATGCATTGTAACAAATTAAGACATATTTCCGAGGATTTCTCAATATATAAAGCAATCATTTCAGTTTTAACCTAACAGCAGTTATGGGGAATGTAAAGAGTCTAAGAGAGGAGCTTTTGACAAAGGATCCAAGAGAACACGGCTTATACAAACACCACTCTGGTAAAGTACTCCCCACCAGCAGACTCCAAACCAAACACCATGTATAACAACGCAAACATGTTTGTACAGCTCAAAGCAAAACAAATCTTAGGCGCCTATAAAACATGCCCTAATACACCCCTCCCATCCTCTCTTTTTACCTGTATGGTTTGACCAAAGCGCCTGACTGCTCCATTTCTTACAGGAGAGATTAAGTTTGCCAAGGATGTGACCCGGGCTAGAGGCCGAACTCTTTTATTGCTTGGCTCCTGGGAAAACAAAACCAGATTATAATAAATATGTGTTGAGATGTAATGATTTCATACAAGCCCAGACAACGTTAAACCGCTTACAAAAACAGTGTTTGTATAAGACAGGGAGATAGGGGACTACAAAAATGATTGTTGTTTTTCACGTTAAACTAGAACACCACCAAGTAACAACAGCTTAAGAAAACCAATGTTTCCTCTCTGTCCCAGTACTGTGTATTTCCACTACTTTAGTTGGAGAATAACCTTTAAGCATGCTTAATACATTCTGAAATGGGTCAAAAACAGCTCAAGCCAAGGCAGAGGGGAGGTTCAAAGGACTCTGAGGCTCTGCCAGGCCTAGAATCCTGGCTCCTGCTCTTGTAATGGCACAGCCAGGGCCTTACTTGTCAGGGTTAAGAACCAGTACAACTTTTAAAATAGCAATAGCATAGCAAAGGAGAACTTGGCATCCTTGGATTTCAAAGCTTCACAAAGCTACTATGAGCTACATAGGACACACTGTCCAAAGACTTTAGAGTTCCCGAAATAAAGCACTCCGAATCAAGTATATCTATAAGGGGAGCATGCACTGATTGCATGTGTTGCCTCTGACACGTCTCACATGTGATAAACTGAGATAAATGGTGAGAATCCAGAAGGATATGTACTTTAATATTATATTAAAGATCACCCAAGCGGGGCATGGTGGTCTAATCCCAACACTTGGGAGGAAGAGGCAAGTACATCTCTTTGAGTTCAAGGCAAAAAGCCAGCCAGGATGACACAGAGACCCTGTCTCAAAAATAGATCACCATTAAATTAAAAAGTAACAGAAAAACATGCTTCCCCCTAAGAATTCTGACGAGACCAAAATTACTTTAAAAGAGAGGGGCAAGGAAACCAAATAAAAATAACTGTCATATAATTTAAGAACAAAGTGAGGGAAACAGAACAAAATTAGATAGAAGCTTAAATGAGTCTAACAGCCCAAGAAGCGTCTAAGCTCCTGTGTGTACACATACACGCACCAGAAAGGAACGTCAATGACCGAAGGACTTCAAAAAGAATCCAAACTTTGGAAGCTTTAAGAGACAGAGTTGTAAACCACTCCCTCCCTCTGCCAAATAACTAACTTCGAAGCAAAACTTAAACTGTAAACCACAATGAGCTGAACACGAAGCCTTTGAGACACACAGTAAAATGGCATATGCCGTCTGACAGGGCACGTGTGGGTGCCTTCAGCACACATCTGTGCAGACTGAGTGACACACGCGTGTGCAGGGGCAGCTTGAGGCATTCCTTTCCATTTAGTAAAGACAGCACAAAGAGTCTCCTGTTTGAATGGAGATAGAATTACCTCACAAAGCAAGACATGCCAACATGAACCAGACCCAAAGCAGCTGCCTGACTCTCTTGTGCTTTGGAAGCAGAGGTTAGCACCTCTTCCCGGTTCAAAGCATAAAAGTTTCACTTCCTAGTAAATCACCAAATATTTAATTTCCATTTGAAGGTCTTTAGAAAGGTACACCTCCCAGTGAGTTAGAAAGTAAAAGTCAGTTTACCTAAGAAGACATTGTGATATTATCGTATTAAATAAAATTCACAAATTCTTGCCGTTTAAGATTAGTTAATGTAAAACTACTCAATTCCTGGTAATTAAAAACTGTTATGTTTAAAATGAAAGAGAAATTATTATGATTATGATTAATCCTGTGCCAAGGACTAAGCCAGGCCCCTGTGAGTATCAGGCAGGCATCCTTTCACTAGAGAACTGGAACATTTAGACTTAGGCAACTAAGTGTCTAGCTAAAAGCACTTGTGTGGCATTAATATAAATTTGTGTATGCATTTCTTCAGGCTGCACTTGGTAGCTAAACACATTCACAGTTCTTTAAAAATAACTACAATATCACTTCTTTACAAAGCATACCACTATTCAGTTTATCAAGTCTAACATGCTTGGTAAGAAAGTATAGTGTGTATACTTGGCAGGTTTAAACAGAGGATTGTCAATAGTTCCAGGCCAGCCTAACCTAGCCTGGGTTACCCAGTATGAGCTGAGAAAAAAACTCAACTAAACCAAACCAAACCAAAATATACAAACAAAAATGACAAACACAGTGGAACAACCATTTGGGAACTCCTTTTCAAATAATGAACAATTTTAATGAAAGGTAAAAACATATCATTGGCAATGGCCTACTGTCAACTTCAGGATACAGACACCAGTGAAGAAAAGATCTTATTTATTTATTTATTTATTTATTGGTGGAGAAGTGAAATGGATTAGGCACTCATGAGTCAGCAAAAAGGTAGGGGCAGAATCTCTATCTTTGAGAATATGGATTACAATTTGAGCTATGTAAATGATAAGCAAAAGCAGTCCTTCTACAGGTCCAAGTGAGCCACTTCAGTTATCTGATTTACTAAGGTCATGAGCATCTGTATAAGACTGTTGTTACACCCACATGCACCTCTCCTAGACAGGACTCAGCAGTGATATTTGGACATGATGAAAGTTCACACCCACACTCCCCCACAGGCACAGACACCACCCCTCCCCCAAGGCAAGGCTTAATTAGTGTGCTGGAAGGTTGTTACTGTGAACACAAGCATTCATAGACACTGACACCACTCAGTCTCCCCTAAAGACAAGCAGCAAATCTGGGAGAATAAACACAGAATGCTAACAAGGCTTAACTTTAAGGAACTTCTATTGCAGGCAACCTTTTATGAGGGCTAAGGTTCACTTGGAAGGGGAAAAGCCACTCTCAGGAGTCTATGCTGTTTGCTTAGGTTAATCTTTAATCAGACTACCTAGTTCAGCTGGCCAGAGCATCCATACATTAGGAAATCTGCTTAACCCTGGGCTTTGAGAACTCAATTTTCACATTTCACCTCCACTAACTCTGTGTCCTAAAATATTTCCAGACTATCTATAACAAAAGTCTCCTTTAAAGGTTTACTGGGATATATCTGATTTATAAGCACAGCAGCCTGGATGAAACCCTGTGGTGAGTTTAGCTTTTTGTAACTTTTTCCCCCTAATGATGTCATTACAGGGCATATTTTAGGGTCAGTCAAATCCTGATACTTTAAAGGTCAGTCTGTGTCTCGGTTTTATTCCTTTTGGACTGCTCATACATAATCTCTCACTTGGCAACAACTTTAAAAACAGAAAAACAAGAATTAAAAAAAGGTTTTTTGAGAAAGATAAAGACAAGTTTTGATCACAAAGCATTTTCTCACCAGGTCATTAGGGCTGCATTGCTAGTTCTGAAGCCGGGACTCCGTTTCTGGTAATTTGAATGCTCTACGTAAAGGGGCCAGGAGAATAGCCCATGTCTCATACTAACCAAAAGGCTCATCCTTGATGGCCTAAAAGATACCTACCTCCTTAGGTAGTTTTACTCACAGCATTCTATGAAGAAGCATTCTCTACCAAGACAATGCTTATTCATTTTATAAAATGTAAGAAAAAGTGATCCCAAACAACAAAATTCAGTATCAACCCCCAAATAAAGGCACACTTCCCGACAAATGTCACCCCAATGTATGTATAACAAAGTTTCTTTGGGGGCATGTGAATAAACTGCTCATTTTCAAAATGGACAATTACATATATTTTTTGCAAAAACACATCACTATCTTCAAAAGATTTGGTAGACTGAACCCATAACCATTTCTACCACGGAAGCAGGATACACCGCAGCACCAACCAACTGCCAAGACTACAAAAAATTGTATGAAATAATTTTTTCATAAATGTTCATAAAGACTTTAGATAGCCCAAAGGACTTAAAGCAAAGCCAGCTAGGCAGAGCGTCGGTGTTCCCCAGGCTCAAATCCCCTTTCAGAAGAAAAAAAGGCACGGCAAGTTGTGGAAAGAAAAATGAACACGGATCCCAGGTCGGACTTTATTCACTTGCTCACCAGCATTGAGAGGAAAATAATCTTATTTTTCTTTCCTTCCATAAAACAGTCCCCAAGACTTAGTAATGCAAGTTAAGAGGGGGGAAAAAGCACAACATTATCGAACATGAGAAATGTTTACCCAGAGACTCATATATTTAAAATCTCCTCTGTATGTAACTTTTCACAATTTAGCAATGCTATATAAAAAAATTGCTTAAACTTAGACTACAGTTCCTAAACACATTTCAGCCTTGCCTATAATAGTTATATATTTTAGGATGTAATACGATTAAAAGTTTGAAACTGAAATTCTAAAGTCTTAGAAGTTCTGCGGAGTTGGAAAACATTCCTTTGGTCTGCTCTTACCTCCTGCTCCCTGAAGGGTTGGTTATTAACGTCTAAGACTCGGATCGTCCTTTTAATGGGCAGGAGACCTCCGATCTCATCATGCGCCACCATGCTTTACAAGTGTCCCTTCAAATCTTTCGGGTTAGTCCACATGCGAGTCAGCCCTGCAGGGCAACACCGCCAAGGCGCCGGGCTTTTCTTCAGAGTGCTCAGCCTGGCCCGGCAGCCATGCGCCCATGCCTCCCGCTCGCGGTGGAGTTCTGCTTCTGCAAAGGCAGCGAGCACGCACGCAGACCTCAGGAGTCCGGGGCGGGGCCAGGACCCACGTGACTCCCGATAACAGCCGAGGGGCGCACCTTGGCTGCTCCGCGAGAGCTGCGAGCTGGAACTCGCACAGGAAGAGCTGAAGTCCACAGGAGGCCACAGAGGAGGCCACAGGAGGAGTGAACGCCAGAGGAACCTACCTCAGTTACTTCTCTAGCACTTAGTTACTGACAGAGACTCTTTCCTCTAAAATTGGTTCCTTGGAAAGGTCTGAGTATGGGTTAAAAAACTACGCAGCAAAGACTTCTGGGTTAAAAAATTATGTAGAACCCAGTTATCCAGCAGCACCGGCTTAAGCACAACTGTAAAATTATCTGCCTCTTAAAACAAGGTTCCTATGGGGGGGGCCAAGAGGGGTAATGGGGAGAAGCATATATGAAAATGTTGCACGGAAAAACTAAAGTGGTTCCTGCCCCACTTTTTTTTTTTTT